AGAATATTAATTCTTCTTGTGCATCTCATAAGGCTTCTTCTTCATCACATGTACACACACATGCACCCATTGTTCATCATAAGCATGCTAATGTGTATCATTGTGATTTTTGTGGTAGAGTTGGTCACTTAGCCAAGTTTTGTTTTGATTTGCGAAAAGTTTCTAAATCGCAAAATATTTCAAGTAGACCAACATTATTTCAAAATGTTTCTCATTTGCAAAATAATCTTAAAAGACCATCTTTATTTGCAAATGTTCCTCGTGCACATCCACATGGTCAACATAACCAAATGCATCCTCTTCATTGCACTTATTGCAATCGAATGGGTCATTTGCATAATTATTGCTATGACCGGACCCGTGCACTAAATGCGCCCAAATGGGTTCATAACCCTAGGGCTCTGAGCTTCAATAATAGGGGTCATGTCCCTAAACCTTTTGGTACCAAAATTACTTGGGTATCAAAACAAAATTGATTTTAAACCAAGAATTTTAGTATTTTTATTTTTCTTTGTCTTGGTTTTGAAAATTATGTTTTAATATCTTTTGGTTATGAAAACAAATTTTCTTTTATCAAGTCTTTTGTTTTCATGATTATTAGTTTTGATTTTGATGAGAGGTTTGTATTTATATAACCCTTCGGGTTTATTGGGTGTTTATTCCCAAATCAAGTTTACCGGATGCTAAAATGATTATATGGGTTGGAACAAGCTCAAGAGCTTGATATAATTGTTGCCTCTCTTAAAAATTGTGTTTTGATTTGTTGTTTTTGAATTCATTATAATTCACTTATATGATGATAATTATGTGTTTGTGCTAATGGATCATCTATTCGTGCTTTATAATGTATTCTATGAGTGGTTTGATCAAGTTATGTAAAGAAAATTTTTCTTTATTGATCAAACATTGTTTTTGAATATAAAGTTTGATTTATGAATTCTTTTGGTTAACTTGTTTTCATTTGAAAACTTTTTACATGATTCTCATGTTTCTCTTCTTTTGATTTCATAAATCTATTTTATACATTGGCTTTTATGATATGAGACAATATGTTCATCTTGATATATTTATATATGTTCTCATTATCTCTTGAATGTGAGTGATTTTTGGCATATTATTTATGCTTGCTCACATGTTTGCCATGATCTTTTATTGCTTATATTTCATATGGCTTTTTGATAGGGGGAGCTATTCCCTATATTTGTTTTATACTCACCTATGCTTATTGATAGGGGGAGCTTTCGCTTTCTTTATTCTTTTGTCCCCTTTTTGATGTTGTCAAAGGGGGAGAAATATTATGAGTAAATATTGTGAGTATACATTTCTTTTCATATATGCATGTGAATTATAATTTATATATTCCTTTGTATTCATGCATATATCATTTTTGTAAATTGTTTCATCATCAAAAAGGGGGAGATTGTTGGCCTTCTTGTTTTGATGATGTTTAACAAACAATTTACCACTAATGTTGTTTGTCTAGTATTTGTGTTTTCTTATTTAATTCTAGGCAAACAATATGTTGGAGGATGGATGGAATAGAGCTTCAACGATCATATCCAAAGGAGGTTGGCGGAATGTCGGTGAAGCCTTGCTATTCAAAGTTCAAGATCCAAGTTAAAGCTTCATCCGCGAGATTACTTAGAAGAGCTTATTGAAGATCAAGATCTAGCTTGGGTAATTTAGTTTAGGATTTATATTATGTGTGTTATATACTCTAAGCTCAATTATCTATACACACACATTTATTGGTTTCTTCGTATATATATAGTTATATAAACTGGAAAATAATTTTTCAGAAATTCTTTCTCTGACATGTTAATCTACATGTCTAGAACATTCCCACAAAATTTCATAATTTTTGGAGTTCATTTACTATTTTAAATTGATTTTTCAAAGTATCTGCGCATTGCTACAGTAATCCGGTCGACCGAAATTTTGGTCGGTCGACCGAAATTTCCTCCGGTCGACCGATACGGTCGACCGACGTTGTTTCTGCGCGATTCTCAGTTTGGGATCTGGCTTGCGGTCGACCGCGAGAATTTTCGGTCGACCGCCAATGAGACCGTTGCTTCCAACGGCTATTTTCTCTGAGCTGGGCTTTGTTGTCTTTTTAACGGGGGTTTTGGCTGAGATCTTTTGTGGGTATATATACCCTATTGCTTCTCTTTTTCAAATTTTTAAGAAGTTTTTAAAGAAGTTTTTAAACAAGGTTTTAAACAAGGGTTTAAGCTTGTTTTTGTTTGGTTTAAGTTTGTTTTGGTTTGCTGTTACAAAGAGGAGTTTACAATCAGCTATTGAAGAGTTCATCTTCAACATTTCATCATCCTCTCTTTGTGTTTACAGAGAAGTTTTCTAACTCTTTTCCCTAGCAATTTCATTATTGATTTATCATATATTAATTATTGCTAGTTTGCTATTTGAGTTAGATTTATTTTACTCATTGTTACACACACACACATTGAGCTTTTAGTATTTACATACATAGTATAGTTGGGTGGTGAGAGTTTGTAACTTTGAGTTGTGCTAAATTGTGTTCTCATCCATATTGTAGAGAACAAATTTATATTTGTTACATTGTGAGTGTTGTAAGATTTTCGGTGAGCTAGAAACCGAGTGTGTAGTGAGGTTTTCGGTGAGCTAGAAACCGAGTGTGAGGAGTGACGTTGATCGGTGAGCGTTGAAAACCGATACTGTGAGGTGTAAACGTTATTCGGGTGAACGTAGAAAACCCGGTTGATAGTGGTAGAGTTTTCGGTTAGCTAGAAAACCGAGTGTGTAGAAGAAGTTCCGGCTTCCAAACCGGATTGTGTTAGTGGATTTCTCCCCGGGAGTGGGGAGCGGAGACGTAGGACGGAAGGTCCGAACTCCGTGATCATATTGCTTGTTTGAGTGTGCTTTGGCGTTCATTCATATTTATGTTCATATCTTATATCGCCATTGTCATTAGCTCATTATCTATATCATCCACTATCTAGTTCATATCGTTTACCCTTGTGTTAGTTTATATATCCTTGCATATATATTTTATCATATAGGATATATCTTATTGTTTACATTGCTTATCCTAGCTTACAAATATTGTTGTATTTTCATACTTGCTAGGATAACGTATTAATGAATTTTAATTGGCATTTAAATCGGATTAGATTAGCATAAGACCCTAATCACACCCCCTCTAGGGTCTAACACTTGCAACCAATGTGGGACTAAAACCCACTACAATACACTATTATCAACAAGATGAAAAAAAAAAGAAGCGGCAAAAATCAAACAAGAAAACAAACAACCTTACTCCATGAGGCATAGAACCCTATAACAAAAATGTGAGGCTAAAGCATTAATTTATCAAAGTTTCCAAACAGGGAAGCACAAGACCGACATCAGAGTAAAATCAACTGCATGAGGAGGTATATCGTGCACACGAAACCTGTTGGATTGCATCCTCCTATATAAAAATAAATAGCCAAACTATGCACATGAAGTTACCCTTCTAAACTTATGCTCCACAACGCATAATTGGAAAGAGCAGATTTTGTATAGAGTTTCTTTCCGTATACAAATACTATAGCCTATCCTGAAACCGCGATATCAGAATACTTTCTATGTAGATATTGTTCGACGGCCCTCCAGTTTGGAGGGTTAGAATCCTAACCACGAGAGAAAAGGAAATATGGAAGGTGGGGTTCCAGCTCTCACGTATGAGATGGAACAGCACCAGCATTCCGTTTCTTGGCCAAAATCATTTCCAGCTTTCCAATTAAATCATAAATACTTCATAATGCGTAGGTTACCACGAGATGAAAAGCAAGAGTGCGCGTTCATAATGCGAATACTGCATAAAACCTGCAAACTCCAAATTGTAAGAGACAACTTGATTGTGAGAGATGACTTTAGATTTTAGAATCCTGACACCATTGTGGAGATGAGTTCATAAGATGCCAGAGGAATAAACAGAGTACAATACATACTAAGTTTGATGAAATTAATGTTTCTTGGGCACACCTATCTTCTCAATGAATAACAAGAAGCCTTTTTGTGAAATTTCAAGTGATCCTTGTGCAAATACAATTGCCGTCTTCATTTAAGCTTTCCCTCTTGTTTGATATATGACATGATCAAATGCCATTATTTTCTGATAATTTGAGAAAATAAGCATTCTTCTTCAGAACCTCACTTCACTTCCCTCGATTGGAAATGGTGCTATCCAACAGCCTTTTTATTACAAAAATTAAACTCTAATTAATATATGAAAGGAATTATAGCCCACTAGTAGAAAAATGAACAAACTAGACGGAACAAACTAGACGGAATTTTTTTCCGTCTAGTTTGGCTCAAACTAGACGGAAAAAATTCCGTCTAGTTTGTTCCGTCTAGTTTGAATCAATCTAGACGGAAATTTCCGTCTAGATTGACAAACTAGACGGTTTTTTATTTTTTTTAAATAGTCACTCAACCTAGACGGAAATTCCGTCTAGAGTGATACAACCTAGACGGAATTTCCGTCTAGATTGCCTAAAAAAATTACCGACCCTCTCTTTTTTTTCATTTCCCCGCCTATTTTTTCATTTCTCCGCCTCTTTTTTCTCCCCTCCATCTAAATCCCGGGCCAAACCCTCTCTCTCTCTCCACAAATCCCCGAATCTCTCTCTCTCCAAACCCCCAAATCCCCCTCATCCCCCCTCCACCTCCACCTCCACCGCCGGAGCTACCCACCTGCACCTCCACCTGCTTGAAAATTCCCCTCGTTCTTCCCTATCAAAAACACTAACCCTACCTCTCTTCTTGGTTCCCAACTCCGATCCATGGCGCATCGATCTCTCCCCCTCCTCAAAACCCTCCTCCGATCCCGCCTAACCCCCTCCCGCTCCGTCACCTACATGCCCCGCCCCGGCGACGGCGCCCCTCGCCCCGTGACCATAATCCCCGGCGCCTCGTTCTTCTTCCTCTGAATCTCTTGTAGAAAGAGAGAGAGAGAGAAAACCGCGCCCCTCGCCCCGTGACCCTAATCCCCGGCGCCTCGTTCTTCTTCCTCTGAATCTCTTGTAGAGAGAGAGAGAGAGAGAGAGAGAGAGAGAGAGAGAGCGATTCAAAAATGGTTTAGAGGTTGACCTATCGCAAGAGGCATAGCTATGCCACGAAATCGAACCCGACCCGCATCGTCAAAACCCCTGGTAACCATCTCTCTCTCTCTCGATCTCTCTCGATCTCTCTCATTCTAGGGTTTTAGGCTGATTTGGGATCGGAACTAGGGTTTAGTATTGAAAAGATGACTGCTTGGCGTTTGCTTTAAGTTCGTTGAAATGTAGTTTTATCAATTTTGATGATCTTGGGGTGTGTTGTGTTAATGCTGATGAACCCTGGTCTACTTTAGCATTAACTGTAATTATTATTTAATTTTAGATGGATGGAAAGCTAATGCCCAAATGAAGTTTACTTATCAGTTCTTGTTAAAAAATGTGCTTTTGTCCAAATTGATTTATCCATGAATGAACCTGTAGTTTTCATTTTTATTGGATGGATGAAGTCGTCAATTGTTTAAAGTTTCTTGTGCTTGTTTTTGTCAACCAAAATGGAGTAATTGGAATGCTGTAGAAACTAATGCAAGGATAATGTTAGCTTAATTAACATCCTGTCTTTGCTGTGTCTGAACTTGTCTGTGATTTCTAATATGATGGCTTATATAGTTATATCTTGTTATAGGTGGGAAACTTACCTACCAGACTGCCAAGAAGAGGGCGAAAGGACCAAGGTGCCCTGTGACTGGAAAGAGAATCCAAGGGGTATGTGATGCTATCCTTCCCATACTATGTTTTTCTTTTTATCTTTTGATGTGTGGTTGAAGCATCTTCATTTATGTCATTGTTTACTTCGTCACTGGATCTTAGATGTTTCTTTTAAGTTGCTTTTCCGTTGCGAACTCATGAATGGTTTTAGCGCTTGTTTCTTAAACCAGCAAACGGTTTATATCTTTGCTGCTATGGATTCATTTCTATGAGAAGCATGTATCATGTTACAAACGGTTTATATCTTTGCTGCTATGGTTTATATCTTTGCTATAGAGACCACCGGTATTAGAGGATCGTGAAGTAACTAACAATATCATGTTACATAATGCTGGTTAATAGTATACTGTAGGTAAAGGAGAAATAGTCTGGTAATATCAACATAATACTATCCTATGTCCAGATTTCATGAATCATCAATTGTGCTTTGCTTGGGATGATTCCAAGTTGGTTCTTATATAAGACATTAAATAGTGTGCACATGTTTTATTTTGTTTCTTTTTCTCCCATATTGAAGTTACATAGACCCCATCTCTGAGCATGCCAAGTTCAGTTTCATATATATCTTCGCAGGTCACCTAGACAATAAATGAATGGGAAAGCTAGTATCATAGTTATTTTGCATGTATCATGGTTTCATTCATATTCTAATCTAGAGTGGTGATTTATGTTCTCTTTCAGGTGGGATAACGACATTGATTGATATGCCCCCTCAACAGATATCTTTCCACAGTGTCTGTAGAACACTAAAACTCAAGGTAAATTTCTTATAAAGCTTCTTTCTTACTGTTCGCTTATACAGATAACTAGTGAATACTTAATTTATGTGGAGGTGGTTTTGTTGGGGGCCGCTTTCTCTGAGGATCTTCTATGTATGTATAGTCAGAAAACTGAAACTAGTTTGCTAAGGTTTCCTATGTTTGTATTAATAAGTATTTATTTAAGTGGACCCTTTGTCTCATTTTTCCTAGTTACTTCAAATGACACGTAACAAAGCTTTTCTCCTACATGTTATGTTGGAATTGGCTACACAGGTTACTTGCTGATACACAGTTTGTATTTAACATATTGAGTATGGAGAAGTGAAGGTTTGGAGCCATAGGGCTTAATTTCAAAAAATAGAAGAATTGAATCTGTTTTTCTGCAGGGTGTTTCTGTGTTTCATCGTAAATTATCTGTATGAATTGACTGAAATAGAAAAATCTTTGATGTGATTTTATTCTCATGCATTTCAGAGTCTGGTCAGTGAAGTTTGCATTGTGAAAAGCGCTACATCTCAGATGCTTCCATGTGAGAAAAAAGGTCTTGCTGAAGTGATGCATAATGAAGCTCTTGCTAAATAGAAAATTACTTCTTATCTATGTAAACAATTTATGTATCACACTAGTATTTTGGTGAATGTATTATTGAATATAATTGTATTTGATATTGAAATATAATTAGATTGTGTTGGATATGAATATAATTTGGTGTTGTGCAACATTGTGCATATATACATTTGATATCATATAGCTTGCAATGCAGATTCTGCAAAAAAAAAAAAAAAAAAACTGTAGCAGTAGCAACCTAGACGGAAATTCCGTCTAGGTTGCTACAGTATCCGTCTAGGTTGTTACTATTGCTATAGTATCAACCTAGACGGAATTCCGTCTAGGTTAAAGCAACCTAGACGGAATTCCGTCTAGGTTAAAGCAACCTAGACGGAATTCCGTCTAGGAAGCAACCTAGACGGATTTTCACTTCCGTCTAGGTTGTTTTCTGTCTAGGTTAGCAAACTAGACGGAATTCCGTCTAGTTTGCCCCAATCTAGACGGAAATATTCTAGACGGAACAAACTAGACGGATTTCCGTCTAGGTGAACCAATCTAGACGGAAATTGGAGCAACCTAGACGGAAATTTCCGTCTAGGTTGCTCATTTTTCTACTAGTGGCCCTCCGTGAGATTTGGGATAACTATCAAACTTGAGAAGATACCATCTATTAGTCTCCGCTGCTGCAAAGTAGTGGTGGCAAACAGGACAGGTCGGGTCGGGTCATAGTTGACCCGACCCGTATAAGTGTGACCTAACCCAACTCGTTTAATAAATGGGTCAATGTGACCCAACCCGTTTATTAAACGGGTTACCAGACCCGACCCATATAGTTTATACATTATTTTTTATATCAAATATTTAAAATAACAAATGAGAATATATCTATAGACAAATTTTTAAAAGGGGCTTTTTTTAAATTTTGTATAGCAAAACCGACCTGATTGGAAATTAATCTGCAAAACCGACCCTTTTCGGTTTTGTAGTAGCAGTGTTTTTTCGAGCTACACGGGACTAGCAGTCCCGTGTAGCTCGGCCAGCAATTGAAATGCACGGGACTAGAAGTCCCGTGCACTTGCATTTACTTTTTAACCCGTGACCCCTCATTCCTACACCCGTGACTCCTCCCTCTCTCTCGCCTCTCTCGACTCCCTCTCTCACCCCTCCCTCTCTCTACTCGTCGACCTCCGCTGACCCCGCTGACCAAGCTCCTGACACCGTCGCTGACCAAGTCCGATCAAGGTAATTTTTTTTTAATTTTGTTGTTAAATTTGACGAGGGGATATGAATTAGGAGTTAGGGTTTACCATGAAATTTGCTTTTTAGTTGAGATTTGGGATTAGGGTTTAACCATGAGTATTGTGATTAAGGTAAGCCATGAATAATGTGATAGGTTTAGCATGAATAATGTTGATTTGGGATTAGGGTTTTTTTGCTTTTCAGTTGAGATTTGGGTTTAGGGTTAGCCATGAATAATGTGATTTTGGGATTAGATTTTATGGTAATTTTTAGTTATAATGTGATTAGGGTTTAACCATGATAATAATGAATTGAGATTAGGTTTTAACACATTATTTGCTTTTCAGTTGAGATTAGGGTTTTAAATTTGATTTTAAATTAAGATTAATATTTTTAGTTATATAGATTATTTACATATGATGAACTTTTAATTTTCAGCTTCGATGGCAACTCTATACCCATTATTTGCTTTTTCATGGGAGCCTCGGTGTCAGATTGAATAGTATGCTTATGTATGAGGGAGGTTCTAGAAATATTTATGCTATCTAAGTCATG